CTCAGACATAATCGGTTTCTCCATGATTCCAGGCAGCTTGTTGTAAACTCTGGGGCCTCTAGAAAGACACGAGGGACCTCCTGAGGGCCAGCACCACAGGAAACAGCACATGGAACCCTGTCTATCTGCAAGTGTGGACAGCTGCGGATTGCACCTGGCCACCAAAGACCTCCTGGCCCCAGTCTGGAGTTCTGAGGAATTCAGCAAAGACAACGGTGAATCCCTCTATCCAATCCCACACAAGAAGAGTTAGGGCATCTGAATCATCCTATGCTTCCTGTATGTTGAGGCTGGATGTTCTAGAACTTGACACCAGTGGGGAACAGGCCAGGGTTGTTCTTTTCTTCACATTGAACAATATATTGACTTTGGCCTGTGCCTTCCTTCCTGATGACATGTCACTGGGTTTCTGCAAGGATCTAACTCTGTGTGTGTGCGTGTGTGTGCGTGTGTGTGTGTGTGTGTGTGTGTGTGTGTGTGTAAGGTGGTAAGGAGTCTGAGTTTCAGAAGGATTGTTGTAAGTGATCAACAGACCACACAACATAAGCTCACAAGCTAGGCAGCCAGGCCCACGTGTGAAACCAGCTTTAGAGTTTCACAGTTGGGTGAGTTAGGCAAGTCATTGTTTTTTTTTTACCCCCAAACAGTTTCTTCCTCTATGATAATGGAGATAAGGGAACATGAGATGCATTGAAAGATGACAGGCATGGACGATGAGAACACAGACTACTTTGTAATTTCTTGGTTAGTATTAGCCATATTTTTTTTCTTTTCCTTCCTGGGGGCTCCTCATAGGAAGCAGAAATGAGTTGTAATGGAAATGTTGCCAGGAATTCACCTGACCCATTTTACTCTCTTTTTAAACTACTAGTTACTCAGAGACTATCCATGATGGCATGCTGGGGTCAGGTGATTGAGTTCTAACTAATGGGAGGTAGGCTCAAACATGTCTACCGTATCCAGGCCTGGTATTTACTGATGACCACCTCTGCTCTCTCCCTCATCTATATAGTCAGGAATAAAGAGCTCTTAGATGTCAAAGCCAGAGGATACAAGAATCTTAGCTTGGAGATAGCATAGAAGAACAACTACCCAACCTCTGCTGGCCAGAGAGGGAGATCCAATTGTATTGAGCCACTGACATGTCATGGGTTGCTTGTTACTTTGGGGTACCATAGCTTATCCAGACTAACTCAGAAACAAAAACATGCAGAGAATGAACCAAGGAACTAGTTGGTCAAGATACAATGAATAGTCCTAGTTTGAAAGAGGTGCTGATGTATTTTTGATATGAGTTGCCCCTCCCCCAGGCTTGTGTTGAATTACTAGTCCCCAGCTGGTAGCAGCACTATTTGAGTAACTGGGCCTATAGAGAACTAGGTCAATGAGAGGCATGCCTTTGAAGATTATCCCCAGTCCCTGGTCCCTTCCTCTTCTCTCTGCTTCCTGTCTGCCAGGGGTCAACATCCTTTCCACTATGACTGACTGGAACTCTAAGCTAAAACACACAATTCCCCTCTTAAATTGTCCTGCCAGGGATTGGGCCACCGCTGTGGAAGGCTAATATACATGGGCAGCGTGCTTTTTCATCAAGAAGAAAGTAATTGTTGGAATTGTAAAACAAAAATAACTGCTAACTTCTTGCATCAGTTTCTGTTGGAACCAGACAGCTACGCTGGCATGGGGGCAGGTCTAGTACCAGGAAAATCTGAGTGTGTAGACCACAGTGTTCAGAGGTAGAATTACAGCCAGTCCATTCCCAGACTCAGAGTGTTTCATGATCCCGTGAATTAAAAACTTCTCTTCCATGCATTTCAATAAGTGGCAGTCAATTTCTGTAGCAAAACAATATTCTCATTTTAAATTGCACACCATAGCATGTGGCATGCCTGGGGACCACCTGTTGAAGGACGCAGTCATTTGTAATTAAGGAAATACAAAGTCATAAATGGTCACAGCCAGTCCTTGTTAGAATATGGACACACATGTTTAAACAAACAGTACACTCCCTGGCCCACGGTTGCCCTAAGCCAATGGGCCAGAAATTGATGCTTTGTTGTTTTTGATGACCCCAGGGCCTTTGCATCATCTACTATCTTCTGTCTGAAATAAATATGAATGCTCATACTTCCAATGGCTAGTTCCCTTAGTTTTGTCTTCTGCAAGTGTCTATGTAAACTTAGGAGAGTTTGACATTTCACTGAGGCCACCCTGCATTTCCTCAATAGCCTATTTGTGTCACTTCTGTTCCAGCCTCGGTCATGTGCATGCCATTCCTTCTATATGAGTACAGATTCACATAGTTCCAAAAGGTCCCACTTCTAAGTCAATTTCAACTTAGTCTCTTCCTCTGCAAAGTCTGCCATTTATTAATGGAGTCGAGGACTGCAGCAAGAAGCAGGAATCATCAGGGCAAATGCTCCCTGAGAATGTCCTATTTTAAAACTCCCTGGAGGGCTGGTGTGTATATAGTAAAGTGATTACTAACCATGAACTCATGAAGCAGTGGTCTGCATTCCCATCCTTCATACTTATCATGCCCTAGGTACTGCTAAAATATCTCCAGTGTAACTAAAAATATGTATGTTAAATGAAGAAGAGATGGATAAAAGCCAATGGATATTACTCCATCAAGAAGGGTCTGTTGTTTTCCCACGGAGTTTCATACTCAGTGTAACTTCATAAGAGTTTATCTCACTCTTTCTTTACAGCTGTCAGAGCTCTGCAAGAATGCTACCAATAAAGCCACTGGAGACCAGGGAGATGGCTCGGTTGGTATGATGCTTATCCTGCAAACAGGGGACCTCAGTCCAAGGTCCCGAATCCATGGTGGAAAAAAGGCCAGATGTTGATGACATGTTTGTAATCCCAGAACTGGGGAGGTGCAGACAGACGGGTCCCTGGGGCTCACTGGTCAGCAGCTTACTCTAACCAGAGAGCCTCAGGCCAGCAAGAGACCTTTGTCTAAGGAGGGTGATGTTTCAAGCATGACATCCAAGACAATCCTCTGGCTTCCACATAACCATGCAAGCATGTTTGTCTATACAAGCAACTTGTGTCTACGAGCACACACTGGAGGGGAAAGGGGAGGGGAGGGACATGAGGAAAGGAGGAGGGGAGGGGGAGAGCAAGCCATTAGACTTTGAACAAAACTGAGGCCCAAAAAGTGGTAGCAGTTTGACTCATGAACAATTATTATGTCCAGACTGGAATTGAAATTTCTCCATGGTAACCTGATTTGAGAGGTGTAGCAGTTCGGATGAGAATGACCCCCCGTAGGCTCATAGGCTTGAATCAATGGTCCCCAGTTTGTAGAACTGTTTGGGAAGGATTAGGATGCATGGCCTTGCTGTGGGGATGTGTGTGTCAGTGTCTTGAGCTCAACTTGCAACTTTGAGGTCAGGTGTGAGCTCTCAGCTACTGCTCTACTTCCATGCCTGCCTTCCTGTCGCCGTACCTCCTACCATGATGATGACAGAGCCACTGTCTGAAACTGTAAGCAAGCCCTCAACTCAGCTAAATGCTTCCTTCTATAAGCTGCCTTGGTCATGGTGTCTCCTCACAGCAATAGAAGAGTAAGGAAGACAAGAGGCGACAGTACATTCTCAATCTTATAGGCTAGAAGCATCCATTCATCCCCCATGATACTCAACCCCCAGTTTAGCCAGTGAGGGCCCATCCAATACAATGCAGGATGCTAATACAGTTAAATGCAGCTAATCTTGAATTTCAGGTGATATGTTTTGAAAGTTATAAACATGGCCCAAATATGGGGCCATGGTTATCATGGAGCACACACTAAAAATTATCCTGGTATTTGTCTAGAGCTCAAACTTAACTGCGCATTCTGTTTGTGGTTGTTTGTTTGTTTGTTTTTATTGCATGTTTGTAAACACAAGTAGGTGAGTATAAATTGTTCTGTTTGCCAAGTGTGATGGTGCTCTACCTGAGGTTCTTCCTGGTCAGAAATGAGAATGAGTTCCTATTTCTCTGCAAAGTCAGACTTTTCTAATATGGATCCAACACTGCTCTTGGGCTCCCTAGTGTTCTATATCAAGTGGGCTTCCTGTCATTTGATATTATGGCCAGGACCCAGGAACTCCTCAGTTTGCCCAATTATTCATCTCTCTTTCCAAGAGCTGTCAGGTAGGACACAGGGGTGGCATTTGCTCATGGAAGACACCCTGACAAGACAGGAATCACCAGATGCCATAGGCAGGGCAGTGGCCTTCCCATTAGAAAACAGAAGCCATTGATGTTGGCCCTGAGCAACCACATTAGCAGTTTGTGTGAAACTGAGGTACAGGAAGGTTTTCTTTGGAAAGCTGAAGCACAGAGGAGGTAGCCTGGCTGTCAGCCCTTGGTGACATCTCCATCCCAGATGGAAGAAACCTGGTCATCAGTCTCCTTTAGAAAACTATGGCTAAAATGTGGATTTGGAGCCTGTGGCCTCTCAAGGTGGGCTGCACAATCAGGGAGGGGGATATAAAAGTGACAGCCACACCCGTATTCTCCAGAGCATCAGAAAAGCTGCAACAGCAGTTGCTCTGCAAAGTCACTTTCCTTGACGGGATCTCATGCCATCTGTGAAGTGCAGAGCCCTGCAGCTCAGTGGCCACTCAGCTTCAGCCACCTGACAACTCCCAGGCCAGTGAGAGACGCTGCTTAACAGCAGCCGAGGTGGTCCTTTGATCTTCACACATACACACACATTCACACACACTCACTCAAACACACACACACACTCACTCATATACACACTCACACAGACACAAAGACACACACTCACTCACACACTCAAACACAAACACTAATGCAAGCAGACACAGGAAAGCCAGCCCAGTTATCTGAGATCCCACTTGTAGGCTTCAGTTCCAATGCAGTGAAACCCGTCGTACCCGGGGCCACTTAGACCAGTGGCGGAGGTTGGGGGGGAGTCTGGCACCAGTACCTACCGTGTTACTCACTTGACTAAGGAAAAACAATGAACGAAACAAGGCCCTGGTTCAGTTCATCGCAATTTATTTAATTTAAAATAAAAACAGAAACAAAAAATGACAAAAATTCAGTTTCCAATGAAAAAATGAACACTTTGGGTAATTAGCCAGCTTTTTCTCTTCCTCTCCCTGTAGGCTGTTCTCAAACCAATCAAATAAGTAAAACCAATTTTGACTGGAGTCCATAAGGCATGCTGCACCAATTAAATTACACCAATATATTATCATAATACCTTTGAAATGCCTTTCAGACCAATAAATAAAAAAGACAAATTCAAATTAAAAAGTCAACTTTTTATTACCAAAAAAATATAGAAATTAAATAAAAGTCACAACATGGATTTAATAAAAAAAAAATGTGCAGTCAAGTTTCTCTCACTCTCCTGTCCCTTTTTCTTTCTTTTTTTTTTCTTTTTCCTTTTTATGTCCTCCTCCTCCTTCTTCTTCCTAGGAATGATACCATGCCAGTAAATCCCTACAAAACATTTCCAGTTTGGCAACAAGCAGTCAGTCTGTCATTCACATTTGTACTCAAGACAGCAGGCCTGGACAAAACATGCCTGAATTTCACCCTGCAACGCGCTCCTTTGGTAAAGAGCACCAGTAACAGAGAGAGACTCAAACTCAGAGGGACTGAGAATTGTCATGTTGCCTAGGGTCTTGAAGCACTTTCTTAAAAACTGATTGTGCCTTGAAATTAACCTGCAAAACGAAGTACAATTCCACCCCCTTTGGCAGATGTGTAAACGAAGAACAAGAATGGAAGGGCCCTAGAAGCAGAGGACCAGGAGCGCTCCCGGCAGGCGACTCTCCCACTCTGCCCTCTGGTGACTCTGCAGAAATAAGTCAAGCATACCTTCTTTGGCTGGGGATCAGCTGACAGGGATGACAGGGCTCCATTAGAAAATTGCTCTTTCAGGGCTTTGCTCTCTAGTCTAACTCATTTCCTGCAGGGACAGTCAGCATCCCAGCTAGAAGCAGCTGTCAGAACCAAGCAGGGGCTTGGAAAACCACTCAGCCACATCTCCAGCCTCATCTCCAGCCTCCATGTACGGGAAGCAGCTCTTGGAGCCACAGCAGGTGCCTGAGACCTCCAGATCAAGGCAGACCTGGACTGGACTCAGTGTCAGCCCTGGAACGGAAGACATACCAGGGCCCCTGTTCTGGGTGTGAAACATTTGGTTTTCCTTCCCCAATCCCTTGTCTTTGAGAATTCCGCCAAAAGAGCACACACTGGTGACCATGGTGACCGAGAAGGAGAGAGGTTTTCCTAATGGAGTCATCTCAACGGTGGGAATACTAAACAGACACAATCAACTGGCGAATTGGGGAAACTCCCATCAACCAGTATTGGCTGGTATACCTGAGACCAGCTGCCTGCTGACAAAAGGAGGCAAGGAGAGGGAGGATTCCGAGGTTGCTGTCCTCTTTGCACCGCCTAAACTCCAAAGCCAATTCTCTACCTATAGATTTTTCTCCCTTTTAGCCCCCTCCAGAGTTCAGGTAGGAGGTGAAACTGAAGGAAAGGAATCAAAGCAGCTTCCCACCACATCCTGCTCAGCTCAGGTCCAAACAAGGAGATGCAGACTCGCCTCATAGAGCAACATCTCCCTGACAACTGTCCTCAGTGCTGTGACATATCTTGTATTTTCCCCAGGATGCATCCTCCCCCACCCGTCTGAGAGGCTCTCAGAAGGCAGGCACCTTAAAAGAAGGATTCTAATTTGACTAAGCCAGTAGATCCCATGGTCAGCCCAGAAAGACTATTTCAACCCCTCAGTGTGCCCAGGGTCCCCTCCGTGGAGATGACATCACCTGTAATCTTAGTGTTCAGAGATTAGATGACTAGCTGGAACATTTTTAAGCATCCTGTCACCCACACACACACCTCCTTTCTGCCTCCTCCAGAGCCATCTGGATGGCTCCCGAGGAAGCGTCCCTAAGCCTAAATGCAACACTCTGCTGTTTCAACATCTTATTCTGTGGGTGGATGGATGGATGATGGATGGATGGATGGATGATGGATGGATGGATGATGGATGGAACCTGTTTTCTCTCCCAAAATGAGGAAGATCAAAACCACGAGACAGAATACTTAGGCCTGAGGAGACAAGAGCTTTCTGTCAAACTGGACTTTTCTTCAGCCACATATTTTACCTACACACTAGCTCCCCAGAAGCAACTCATCTACAGTTAAGGGTCCACACCTGTGGGCGAGTGGGGCCTATGGCTGAGCCAGTAGTGCTTTGGAGACTCTGAGTAGCATCACGTCCCTGTGCAAGTGAGAAGCCAAGAGGCAGGGTTCCAGTTAATACTGAGACATTTAAGAAAGTGATAAGTCGCCCCTTGCTGGCGTGCCTCACCGTCCATTCAACTGTGCAAAGACCACGGCAGCTCTGTGCCCCGTTATACACAAAGCCCTGGCCTCTCACACTGCCAAGTGTCTTCCTGCTCACCTTCAGAAGGTCCCACTGAAGAAGAACAAGACACGAAAGAGGAGAAAGAAGAGGCAGATCCCAGGAAACCAAAAAGTTACCCCCACTGGACTATTTCCGTAACAGAGTTCAACACATTCTCTCTCTAAGCAAGCTCTGTCTTCTACTCAAGGTCCAGGAGCAAATTAACACATGTCATGCTGTGCCATGAAAGAGTTAACCGTTTGTCTTTTAAACAGGGTGCTTTAATCTAACTCCAGGGGCTTAGCCATGGCAGGCATGCTGTTGCCTCTGCTCCTGATTCCCCGGCAGGCAGTTATTGGTACTCACTCAATGCTCCCTGGTGTGCTAAAATCAGGTCACAGTACAGACATTACCAATCGATCACCAATTCACACTCAGGTTGCTGAAATCTTGCTAGCCCCTATGTAGTCAGACTGGGCTTGCTAACATACTCATCCAAAGCAGATGGTCTCAGTCTTTCTCCCCCTCTTCCAGAAACATCTAGATGACTTCTAGGAAAACACCCCCTTTCCCTCATAATGCCCCTTCCCGTTTCATGCTGGCCAACACCACCTTCCCTGTGAGATGTCATCTGGGAATGCCAGTTAGGACCCACATTCTGACTGGCAGCTGGCAGAACTGGTAAAGAATGGTTTCCATCCCTTTTAGGTGCTGACTCAAGGCTGTAAAAACCAGCCAGGCCAGATGTTATTAGTACTTTCCCAGTCTGTTGCCGTGACCAACCAGCATAGAGGTAACCAGCCTGCAGGCTGAGTTCTGTTCTCCTCCCTTGGACTCCCCCACCCACCCATCCCATCCTCTGTGCCCTGAAGGGCTAGTTGAGCTTGCTGCAGATCTCCAGCGCTTTCTTATACACCTGAGTCACATCGTCCATGTCAGTGAGGAGGGAGAAGCTACTGTCTGCCAGCCGGTTCCGGTACCGCTTCGGGTACTGGGGCCGGGGCCGGTTGTGTGGTGTCTCAAAGTCCTGAAGCTGGAGGAAGTTTTCAGCAGAGACGCAGCTGCGGATGCGCTGGCGGGCTGGCCGGTTCTCCTGAAGATCTAACAAGTCGAAGGAGTCGCTGGACAGGACACTGTCATCGCTGATGACACTGGACGGGCGACTGTAGCTCCGAGAGATGCCATCAGATGGGACACCGGGAGGTGACAAGGATTCCAGTGTGGGTATTTCAGAGCCGGCGAGGGCGGGGTCTGTGGCACCATCCGAGTACCTGCTGCTGTGTTTCAAGATGCCCTTCCTCCGGCAAGACAGGCTGTGGGAAGTTCCCCTGACTGGGTCTGGGGGAGGGGAAGAGAGGCCACCACTGATGACCACGTGATCACTGTCCAACAGCTCTGAAGACTCGCTGCGCTCTGGGGATGAATAGTAACCAGACTCTCTCTGCTGGGTCTTTTTCAAGATGCCTTTCTTGGGCATCGTGGCAGACTGTTTGAGGCTGAGCGTCCCTGACATATCTGCCTCAGGGGAGCTGGGGAGGGGGATGGCAGTCCGGCACAAATCTTGCTCCATTTTGAAAGGGGATGGTAAGGCAGGGCTCACAATGCCTTCGATAAAGCCAGTGCTATGGGAGCGGTGCTCACTGTTGCTCCTCTTCTTCAGGATGCCCTTGGGCCTCTTGGAACTCAGCTTGGATGGGCTTTCAGGTACGGCGTCCTGGCCAGACTGGGGAAAGTCGTTCTCTTTCTTGGACTTCTTCAGTGACCGCTGCCGTTCCAGCACCACCTCAGAGGCCCCGGGTTTGGCCAGTCCCTTCATCTTGGCTTCAGCCTCAGCCTGTAGCCCCGTGGAACGGTGATGCCAATCAATGATCCTCGCCAAGAGTGGAGACTCAGAGTCAGGAAGGGCATCACAGTCACAGACGCTGTTCTTATAGCCCCAGTTTACCCACCAATGGTTGGCGATGTCCTCGATGGTGGCCCTGCGATCAGGATTCACCATCAGCATCCACCGGATGAGACCCCGAGCATCTAAGGAGTGAGAGATAAAGGGAGTCAGGCTCTTTGTGGGAGCTTTTGGTGAGGTGACTTTCCACAAATGGCTAGAGATGTGCTCACTTCGGGCAAAAAGAAAGAAAGGCAAAGAATGCATTTGGAGTGTTCCAGCTTCATGCTCAAGCAGAAAGCCAAAGTCTTTAGACTGTACAGGAAAAACCTAACCAAGGCTCAGAACCACAAACCACAGAGCTCCCCCATCCTGGTTTGCTTTCCTTCCACATACACACAGATGTACATGTGTACCAGCAAACACATATATCTGTGTGTACATGGATGCCACAGAATAACTTCAGGAATCCTTCCTCAAGCCCCGCTCAACCCTTTTCTTTTAAGAGAGGGTCTTCCATTGGCAAGGCCTCACTGAGTAGGTCTGGCTGGCTGGCCAGCAAAGCCCTGGGCTCCATCCATTTGTAACACAGCAGCTGTGGGATCATAAATGTTATTACCATGCCAGGTGTTTCGGGTGCGTTCTTAGGCTCGAACTCATGTTTTCATGACTACGAGGCAAGCATTGATCATCTGGGCTGTCTCCCCATGATCTGCTCTATCTATCTATCTATCTATCTATCTATCTATCTATCTATCTCTATCTCTATCCTATCAGAGGCTGTGGCCACAAATAAAGAGATATCCTGGAACCACTGACCTCCATCCCAGATCTGTATCAAGTACAGAAGCCCAGGTAATAGAGAAAGAATTCAAACTAAGTCTCACTACTGCTTTGGCCAATAGCATTCTTATCAAAACAAAAAGCAGGTGTTCATTGGTAGCCTTCCAAAGGTAGGTCCACATAAACACACAGTCAGTCCCCTGGCAAAGGTGCTAGAGTCAGAGCAAGAGAGACAGAGACACTCACCTGTGTCAGGTGTGGCTCTTACCCGACACACCTGGGCAGGGAAAACTGCCATAGCTATGGCTGGCCCCACTCTCAAGGTCTTAGCCAGGATCCTAGAGCCACGCCCAGCAAGAGCCATGCCCAGTGAGCTCGCCTCCTTAGGCTGTCTGACATAAGCCCTATTGGTATCCAGCAAACTGAGAACTGATCTTTATCTGCCTTCCAGGTGGCCACAGCCTATGATAAGAGATAGAGACAGACAGAGACAGAGACAGAGACAGAGACAGAGACAGAGACAGAGACAGAGACAGGGACAGGGACAGGGACAGGGACAGGGAGAGGGAGAGGGAGAGGGAGAGGGAGAGGGAGAGAGAGAGAGAGAGAGAGAGAGAGAGAGAGAGAGAGGGAGGAGATAGAGAGAGAGAGACAGAGAGAGCGAGAGAGAGCGAGAGAGAGAGAGCCCAAGAGTGAGCTGGGGGAAAGGCTCCAAGGATGCTGAGGAAGCCCTGGGAGGCTGCCTCCTCCCCTCAACCACTTAGGAAGGCTGATAAGAGCTGGCAGAGCCCAGCGATGGGGACAGAGCGATCACTCCTGAGAAGGGACAGGATAATCAGTAAGAATTTCCTGAACTCATACAATGTGCCAGGAATTTTACTGACACCAGTTAGTGAGTAAAAGGCCACCAGCAATCTATCATCTATCTATCTATCTATCTATCTATCTATCTATCATCTATCTATCTATCTATCTATCTATCTATCATCTATCTATAGCTATCTATTACCTATTGATCATCTATCATCTATCTATAACTACCTATCATCTACCTATCATCTGTCTACCATCTACCCACCCATGTGAGTCCTCATCCTTCTACACTGTCAGGTTTACCTAAACTTGTTTGCAAGCCCCAGTCAATCCCCTCAGCTCTTTTGTAGGTATCCTGTGTGCATGGCACACTAAAGTCCTCTAAAGCAGACATGGCTGGTTCTCTGGCTGAGCTGTCAGGCTGGAAATAAGCAGCCCTAGTCTGTTCACTTGTGTTATTCCTGCTGGAAATCTGCCATTTAAACGGCCCCCACACCAGTCAAAAGTTCTATGTGCTGTCCCTCAATGTAAGAAGACCTTGATGAGCCCTCAAGGAGAAAATACATGGCACATAAACTTCATTCAATCATGAGTAAAAGTGCCATTGGCCACTGAGTTTGAGGTTTGAGGGACTTTGAGAAATAGAAAGCCTTTTCAGAGCTTGAATTTATAGCAGAGAACTGCCACATTTTATACAGAATATAAAAGCAAGAAGTGCTTTTGGCTGTCCTGGAAAACATCTCACCTAAAAGGCCAGCTTTTCCAAGAACTGATACGAGAGAAGAGTGGGGAGCAGTGAGTGATGCCTTATAAATCTAGAGAGAGTGTGAGCTGGCTCAGGAAAACCAAGCACTCTCCCACCAACCCCCAACCTCCATCAGACACGCACCTGAGGGTTGTGTGGGCTCCCGGTACTCTCCACTGCTGATCTGCCGGATGAGATTTTTGTGATCAAAGCCATCGAAGGGCATTGTTCCATAAATGAGAGTGTAAAGCAAGACGCCCAGGGCCCAGCTGTCCACCTGCAGCAGAGACACAAGACACATAGGAGATAGTATACAGACCCCAGATGCTCTCCAGACCACTGGCATTGCTGTGTGTAAGTATCTACCCAGAACACTCCCAGGATCCTGAACCCAGAAGGCAGATCCCCACCACAGCCTGACAAAGGACAATGCAAGTCCACCCTGTTTCAGAGCACTCTGAAGTGCTTACTGCCCTGGTCCTCATAATGAGTCCACGAGGCAGGTAGAGTTTAGATTACTTCCAGCTCAATTTGAAAAATGAGAATAGAAGTTGGGGGAATAAGTCTCTTCTCCAGAAAAGCCCTTTCCCGGAAATGGAGATAAGGCTGGGATGCAGGATCCCTCATGGCTAACACAAGAACCAGCTCCTCCCCTCCCCTCCCCTCCTCAGAAGGCTCAGGGATTCCAAAGTCAAATCCTACCAGAGCTGGGCTGATAAGAAACACAAAGACAAAGACTGAAAGATCTTAGGATGTAAATGAGGAAAGTCGGGGACAGAGACAAACTGTAGACTTTGCCTATCTTAGGCAGGCAATTTCTTCACGGCTTGTATCACTGTGTAGTACAAGTGCTGGACCAATGCTACCCGAGGCTTTGGCTTTTACAGAGAAGTCAGAAATATGACTTGTGTGTGGAATCTCTCAGCTACTAGACGTTTGCTCAGTTTTTTAAAAATGGAGATGAACAAGGCCAAATAAAGCATGTTTACCGAGCAGGCCTAAATGCCAGCGTGCAACCCCAGACACTAACCATGACACTAACCACCAAAGACCGAAGGGCATTTGACAATAAATGTATAGGGCAGATTTTAACATTTGTCCAAGTTGATCTCTAAGCTCATCCCTTATATTTTTTTGAAGGTCTTCTCTTTACTGTAATTGTTAGTGATTCTGGGCACCCCTCCCTTTATCCCAGCCCTGCCATCAAAACAGTCTCAGATGGATAAATATTTGGAAGAAACATTTCTATCCACCAAGCAGTTGCTATTCAAAGGAGAAGGGGTGGATGAGCCCCTGAAAGGGAGGTTCTTATAAGAGAGCAATTCCTAACTCATAGTTATACAGATGCTGTACAGGGTGTTGTTGTTGTTGCTGTTTTGTCAATTTGACACAAGATAGGGTCACATGGAAAGAGGGAACTTCAGGTGAGAAAAGTCTCCATCAGATTGGCCTATAGACCACTCTGTGGGCATGTTCCTGGTTAAAGTGACATGGGAGGGTTTGACCACTGGCAATGGTGCCAAGCTTTGCCATGTGGTCCTGGGTTATATAAGGACTCAGGCTAAGTGAGCCCAAGCCTTCCAGAGTCCAAGCCTTCCAGAGCAATTCAGTAAACAATGTTCCTCCATAGTCTCTGCTTCAGTTCCTGTCTTCCAGTTTCTGCCTTGAGACCCTGTCCTGAGTCCCCCTCAGTAGACTGACTGTAAGCTGTAAGCTCAAATAAACCCTTTCTCCCCCAGGCTGCTTCCAGCTGTGGTGTTCATCATAAATACAATGTATTTACATAAATTGCCTTATAAAATGAACTAGGACAGATGTATATCTTATAGTGGCCATGAAAGCTCTCTAAGGCATGTAAAGGAATACATTTCTCATAAAAGAGAAGATGCCATAAAAATTTATTTTCTTAAATATAAACACTAGCCCAAATATGGGCAAAAGAGATATACATGGATAAAGGTTTCATTTATATTTATTCTGTTTATCTTCATATAGTAGGGGAAAATTAAGTGTCTAGAGCCAGGGAAATTATTAAAAATATAATAGTACATGCATAAAAACAGGATGTTGTGTGGTCATTACAATCCTATGTTATCAACAAACTTGAAAGGTACCACTAAATAACTAGGAACTGTCAAAAGGCCAGTGTGCATGCGTGTGTGTGTGTGTGTGTGTGCGTGCATGTGCGTGTGCGTGTGCGTGTGTGTAATATAGTATGCATAGCTTGCCCTTTACTAACTTGGTCTCAGTTATTTTCAGATGGCCTCAATTATTTCTTTAAAAATGTCACTTTTGAAAAATCTAAAAGGAAAGAATGAAGAAAGGAAGGAAGGAAGGAAGGAAGGAAGGAAGGAAGGAAGGAAGGAAGGGAGGGAGAGAAGGAGGGAGGGAGGGAAGGAGGGAAGGAGGGAGGGAGGGAGGGAGGGAGGGAGGGAGAGAGGGAGGGAGGAATGAATCTATCTTTATCTCTAAGGCTTCTCTAAGGTTTTGCACATCTTCTTCCAGGTCTCTATATTAATGTTCCTATAAGTCAAAGTTCCCTTTGTTTGGCCTTTGGGGGTTTTAAGAATGTCCCAAGATCTAGTTCTTGCCTCCCTCCTCCCTATCCCTCCAGCTCTCTGATCTGCTATGCCAGCAGTCTGCCCACCTCTGGCCCTCGATAAGGCCTGCCGTTGACAATCTCGGGCGATGCATACAGTGGGCTCCCACAAAATGTTTGCAAGAACTTGTCCTTCTGGTACAGGTTGGAAAGCCCAAAGTCAGCGATCTGTAAAGAGAAGCGAGACCCACCAAAACCTGTTAGAGACAAGTCGCTAGCATCTGCAAACTGATTCAAACTGCCCAGGGCCACCACTGTGTCTAGTCCAAAGTCTGCACCAAACAAGAGCCTCCCACTGCATTCAAGAGCATCCAATAATGGTATGGCTAAAGTAGAAAACACCAAAGTCCTTAATGACCCACTTCCTCCTCACACAAAACCACCAACTGGGGACTCATGAGTCTTTAGGGGCCATTTCACATGTAAACCAAAACATCCAATAACAACTGCTTCCATGAAAACCACCACTTGGTGTTTCTAACAAGCACTGAAGTGCAGAGAACTTATCTATGGATTGTGTTCCAAAGTCACAAAGGGATGCTTAAAACTTTCAAGAGTATTATCCTCTATGTCTGCGACGGTTTCTTTTCTAAACATGCATGTCTAGGATAATTTACAAATCAAAACAGTAAGAGATTAGCAATAATAAATAATAACAAAACTGAACAATTATAACAATGTAACTTATTGCAATAAAATGATCAGGCAGTATCCTTGTTCCTGCACTTTGTGGCAGGATTAAGTAAAATAAGGTCAACTGAACACCTGAACAAAGGTACTACATTTTATAAATGGGACAATTAGTAAGTAACGGTTGGGTGGGTAGCATATACAATGCAGATACCCTGGACAAACCGATGACTCACTTCTCACCAGGACAGATGGTGCAAGACTATGTCACAGCACTCAGAATGGCACACAATCTAAAACATACACATTGCTTCTAGAATGTTCATGTGTTATTTTGGTTCATGGTGAGTAACTAGGAGTGTGAAATCTCAGGTAAGAGGAAGTGGAATTTTGAATCGTTTTGGTTTACTATCTTGAAGACTGAGCCTATCAGGCATATCAGTCAAGGGCTCTGCCACTGAGCCACATCTCTAACCCTTGCCTTCCCTTTCTTATAGCAGTAGGGACTAAACATGGGGCCTTAGCTCCTGCAGTATTATTAACTGGAGACAGGATTTCAGTTTCTCAGGAAGGCCTTGATGTAACTCTGTAGGCCAGGTGGGACAGGATCTGGTGACTCTCCTGCTTCAGCTTCTGGGCCTGCTGGGACCACAGGTGTGTCACCAGTCCTGACTAAAGGCAACCAGTAAGAAACTACTCATGTCACTACACTCACAGTAGCATGCGTGTCACACCGTGGAGAATCCTAACTTATGCCACCACCACCACAGCCACCACCCACCGACACTGCCATCTTTTCTTCATTTTATGTGCATGTGACTCAACATGAAACACACAGAGCACCAAATATTGACGCATTACATTTCAGCCTAAACTCTCCCGCTGTGTGACACGGAGATCATGGAGACGGCCATGACAGTCTCCCAAAAAACAGAAAGCCAGGATCTCTACCTGTCCTGTCTCGCAGGTGTATTATAATAAAAAGAAAACCGTCAACTGAGGTAAGGTGGAGCACACAAACCCCAGCCCCCAGCTTGCACATCCTGTATAAATATCTGATGTAACCTCACTTCCATATTGCCCTCTATGCAAAGGGCTTTGTGTCATGTCCTTTCCAGCAATGCGGTTACACCTGCATGTATACAGTACATGCACACATATAAACATAGACATATCTGTACATACTAAGCATGCTATGTCTGCCTTCTCTACCAGACTCTGAGTCCCCTGTGTCTGCTCTAACATTTTTGTACCTTCCTCTCTTTAGCAGCTGCCCCTGGCTAAGAAATAAACTTGTCACTGAATCGGGTATTATATTTTGAAAAGTATAAGGAATTAATAGCTATATAAAATAATAGTAATCCCAATTTTCATTATCAAAACTCCCAATTATCCAGCACTGTTTGTTGAATTCTCTAAGCCAATTCTATCCCAAAAAACCCTGTATTTATATATATATATATATAATGCCCAATATCATAAGGATACCTAATTAAAAATAGATTTAAATCTTATTGCTCAAAACGATCAATTTTATGTTATGGCAATTTTACCACAATGTTTTAAGAATTCCACTTACCAAACAAGAAAACAGATTTAGGGAGTCAGAGTTACTTATCTGAAGAAATGTGAGCACTGGGCAGCCATGTGTGTGTGCGTGTGCGTGTGCGTGTGTACCACTTACAGTCCTAGCCTTAGATACACACTGCCCTGGGAGGGTCTGTGGATTTCATCAGTCTCAGCCAGCCTGGTAAGGTGAAGCTCCTGTGTGCTCCAACCATCTCTAGCCTGATTTCCACTTGAGTGTTAGCAGGAGCTGGGGCTAGCCACATGGCTGGGGATCCTCTGGGGCTGAATGCCACAGAGCTGCTTTGAATGAAGCCCTTGAAATAAGCCTATTTTTGTTTAAAAAAAAAAAAAAGGAACGTCATTCAAAGGAGCTATGCACAACCACCCTCAGAAAAGGCATTCCTGGGGCTCAGGTTGCACTTAAGGGCTCTGAATTCCACTTGCTTATCAAGGCCCCAGACTGCCTTGCAGGAAGTTGGTGGGAAGCTTTTACAAAGTACATCCTGTCAATCAAAAGAACGGACCAGTTCAGCTCTGGAGATTCCAAGGAGTCCTGAGGCTTCAGCCTCCCTCTGGCTATGGGTGCAGCCCTGAGAATACACCCAGCAATGCCAATACCTTTGGGGTGTGCTGGAGCTTTCAAGTGACTGCCCCAGGAGCTCTCCCCACTTCCCCCTGCGCCCCTAGCCCCAGGCTGGGCATCTCTGCTTGCTCTGCAGGCAGTCTAGAGAAGTGTGTTTATGTTTCACCCCACTCCCATCCTCCCAGACTGATGCTTATCAGCCTCCCTGTAAAACTGTCACTGCTGCGGACACAAGATTAATAGAAATCCAGATTAGGCCGTGTTCTTGGCACTTGAACGGAAAAGCAATATTAATCAACACACACACAGCGTTCTCAGACACTGAGCTCGGCTCTAGGATTTTTTAATGCCACATGGAGCTTATGTCAACTATTGCTAAATGGGGAGACACCACAGGGTCTGAATGGACTACTGCTAAGTGGGGAGACACTGGCGGTATGAATACACTCAGAAGCCTCAGTTCTCTTATCTGTAAAATGGGGGTGAAAATCTCCTTTACCCCTGCGGTGTTCTAATTCAATTCATAAAGCACACACAAAGCATATACACAACAATAATGGCACATTTGCCTTTAAACACCGATAAGTAACTGATTTCATGATGCAGGAGAAAGCGCATCTTCTAATGCCAGGGACTGTCAGTAGAGAACAGAAGGTCAAGGAGCCAGCTTTGCAAGTGAATTAGTTTGAATCACAAAATGAAGAAGTTCTCTTCTTTGACCTGAGTCAGGAGGTGGCAAGCCACATGCGTCTAGTCTAATTAAAGCATCTCCACATTTACCAGAGAGAACCAACTGGCCTTGGGCTCACAGCCTGGGGCAGCAACCAACATCAAACAAACAAACAAAAAGTAATGCGGCTATCTGGTTTGCATTGTTTTGCTCGTGAGCTTTTCCGTGGTTCCGGGTACTAGTTTTCCACCAAATGCCATTACTTACGGCTTCCTTTCTAAGTAAATCCCAGTCCACAAAGGGACCCAAACTAAATACAAGCACCAGAAGTGATCTCCACGGAGAAGAGACCTGACTGGCGGGAAAGGGGGCTGCTGAAGGCTCGGGGAGCTAAGGATCCAAGGAAATTCGACAAGATACACCGGAGGCTCCCCAGCTGCCCATCTCTGTAATTCTGTCCATCCATCGACTCCACTTCTTACCGAATTCTAACGGAGGCATGCCAGTCAGTGTAGCCCTACGTCTAATCTGCTCCCCCAGCCTGAATCATCAGCACCACCTCATAGCATCTCAGAAGACACACTTAAGCCCCTCCCCGGGCCCTTTAGAGTAGTAGCTCCTGCTGACACACTGTTACACTTTGGAGAAAGAGGCTTCGCTGTGTTTTGGGGAGGTTGGGGTTGTCTGTTTGGTAGTGGTGGTGCAGGTGCTGAACTGTTGCCCTGTCCCATACTAGATCAGAACCACTCTCTGACTCACACTCTTTATCCTGTAGCTCAGCCTCTGCTCTGAAAGGCATCAGAGAAGGTAAATCTCTCAAGTTTAACTTGGACTGTCTGTGTAACTACCCATCCCCTTTAGAAGTGTGCCCTGCTAAGTGAAGATCAGAGTAAGGAAGATAAATTTGAGGGGTGGGGGAGAGTTACTCACATGTCAGTGAGATTAACCCTACTTTGACACAGGCGAACCCTGGAGACGAGGGCAGTGTGAAACAAGCCAGGCACAAAAAAAAGACACTCATTGTCTGAGTCTATTTATATACGGTCCCTAGAGTAGACAAATCATAGAAAGGAGAACAGTAGTGACGGTCAGGGCCTGGGAGAAAGAGAAGCAAGGAGCCAGGACCTAATGGGCATGGAGAGTCAGGTGCAGAGTAGGCTGAGGCTCTGTAGCTGGGCGCAGGGATGGTGCTACAATACCAAAGGTACTTCCCGCCTCTGTGCTAGACACCCAAGTACAGTAGGCTTTGAGTTACATTATGCATATTTTGGCATCATCGAAAAAGAACTAACCCCAAGGTCACTATGAATAAGAAGCACATGTGATGCAAAAGGAGGTACCAGTTTGTTGACTTTAACTGCTACCAAAGGAGGCTTACAACAGGGATAGTTAGGAACGTCTGCCCACCCCTGGCAGTGTCTAAGAGGATGTGCCCTACACTCAAAGATCAGAGGCTTAGGAGTCCTAAGAATAGGGGCTGAACTTTGACTTTGTCAATACTCAGTAATAATTGGTGGGTACCACCAAGCCTCTCAACCTGTCTACCTACAAAATGGTCTCAGAACTCTCATCTATAAAGATGCTAAAAGGACTGGAGACTGTGAATCTCAGACATCTCCATTAACACCTAGAGGCCATCTCAGAAGGGAAAGCCAACCTCAGAGCCAAGAGAAGTAATCTTGACCTAGGTATGAAAGGGGCATGTCCAGTGTGAGT